AATATATATATTTTGATAAGATTAATTTTTGGCACTATAGTGGTATTATATTTAATTACTAAAGAATGTTGAAGCACTTGAGTGAAGTGAATTTTTCTTTTCTTACAGTTTTGTAATAGTACAAAACTGTCATTTAACTCATTTAAAGTATACACTTTAATGATTTTATGTTCACAGAATTCTGTAACTATTACAACAATTTTAGAACTTTTCATTGTCCTCCCCCCCAAAAAACCCCATGTACCTACTAGCAGTCACTCCTTGTTTCCACAACCTGAGTGTACTCTCAGTCTTCATAGGTTTGCCTGTTTTGGACGCATCACATAAGTGCAGTCAATATTATATGTGGCCCTTTTCTGTAGGCTTCTTGCACTTCGCATAAGGTTTTCAAGGTTGGCCCATATGGTAATGTGCATCAGTACCTTATTCTTTTGAATTGCTGAATAATAGTCTGTTGTATAGGTATATTTATTGTATCTGTCAGTTGCTCATTTGAATTGTTTCCACTTCTGGACTGTTGTAAGTTGTGGATGCTGGTAAGAGTGTTCATATACAAGTTTTTAGATGGACATGTTTTCATTTTCTAGGAGTGGAAATGCTGTGTCACATGGTAAACCTGAGTTTCATCATTTGAGGAAACGTGAGACCATTTTCAAAGGAACTGCACTATTTTCTTTTTTCCATTCCCACCAGCAGTGAATGGGAGTTCCCATTTCTCCATGTCCTGGATAACACTTGTTTTGTCTTTTTTGTTATAGCCATCTTACTGGTCATATGTGTGACATGGTGTCGCCTGTAGTTTTCATTTGGATTTCTCTGATAGCTAAGGATGTTGACTGTCTTTTCTTGTGCTATCTGGCCTTTTGTAAATCTTGTTTTGCAGAAATACAGAATCAGAGTCTATGCTCATTTTTAATTGCATTATTTGTATCACTATTATCGAGTTGTTGGAATTAATTATGTATTCTAGATTTGAGCTCCTTACCAGATACAGGATCTCCAAAAATGTTCCCCTAACTTATGAGCTCTCTCTTCACTTTCTAGATGGTAACCTTTGAAGCATAACAGTTTTAATTTTGATGCTATCAGATTTATTTTTTATTGTTTTGGTTGGTGTCATAGTTAAGAAACATTGCTAAATCTAAGATCATAAGATTTCCTCTGGTTTTCTTCAAAGAGTTTTATGTTCTATGTCTTAGCTTAGGCCTTTGATCCATCTTGAGTTAATTTTTGTTTTTTCTGTGAGGAAGAGATCAAAATTCATCATTACATGTGGATATTCAGTTGTTTCAGTACTACTTCTTGAGAAGACTGTCTTTTCCCCATTGAGTTGTCTTGTGTTCTTGTCAAATCAACTAATCATAAATGTAATATTTGTCCCTTTACTCTTTTTTTTTTGTATTAAATTCTTTTATTGGTACATTGTAGGTATATAACAGAATTACATTTCTCATTGGGAATTGTACCTTTCTCTAATGCATCTTGGTTCTTATTTTTTCCCCATTCCTAGCCCTCCCTTCACGCCCTCCACCCTTCCCTATTTACAAAGACTTTATTTCCATTTTTTCCATTTCTCATCATTTTTTCCTTTCCCTTCTTTCCTTTCCCCTGTGCCTCCCATTACCCCTACCCCTACCCCTTTGTTGTCCCTTTACTCTTATTTTATTGACTTACTTATCTGCTCTTGTACTAGTATTACATTGTCTTTATTACTTTAACTTTGTAGTAAGTTTTGAAATCAGGAAGTTTGAGTCCTTCATCTTTGTTCTTCTGCAAAACCATTTTGGCAATGCAGGGTCCCTTGAATTTCATATAAAGTTTGAGCTTAGCTTGTCAACTTCAGTAAAAAAGTCAGCTGGATTGTGGTAGCTCTTCTGGTAAATCTGGAGATCCTTTGATAAGTGTTCCCATTTTAAGAGTATTTAGTTTTTCAATCCTTGAACATTGAATGTCTTCCTTTCTTCCTTTTATTTAGATCACCTTAAATTTTTTCAACATTTGGTGGTTATTCTATTCTTAAAATATTTGTATTTTATTCTTTTTGATGCTATTTATTACCCATATATTTAAGAAATACAAATGTGTTTTGTATGTTTATCTTGTGTCTTCCTACCTTGCTGAATTTATTTATTAGTTTTGACAGTGTATTGGTGGATTCTTTATGATTGTCTTTTTTTTTTCCGTGCTGGGTATTGAACCTGGGGCCTTATGCATGCTAGGCAAACACTCTACCATAGAATATGTACCTAGCAAGGATTCTCTGTATATAAGATTATCTGCAAATAGACTTGCCTTTTTTGTTGTTGTTGTTGTTTCTTTCTCTTAGTTGTCATGGCTAAAGTCTTGAATGTAGAATAGGCATGCTGAGAGGAGACAGTTCATCTTGTTTCTGCTCTTAGGGAGGAAAACATTGTCTTTCACCATTAAGTCTAATGTCAGTTGTAGGTTTTTCATAAATGTCCTTCATCAAGTTGAGGAAAATCTTTACTGCTGGTTGGTGAGTGTTTATTTTTTTTTCTCTTTTTGTACCGGGGATTGAACTTGGGTCCTTGAGCTTGCACAGCAGGTGGCGAAACCATTGAGCTAAATCCTCGGCCCTGCTGAGTGTTTTTAATATGAAGAAATGTTGAGTTTTGTCAGATGTTTCTTTTTTCTTGCATCTATTGAGATGACCACGTGGTTTTTGTCCTTTATTCTGTTAAAGTTTAGATGTTCAGTCAATCTTACATTTCTCATATAAACCTCATTTAGGTATAAGTATAGTCCATTTTATATATTTTTTGCCTAAGTTTGCTTTGTTGAACTTAGCATTGTATATGCTAAGTAAATGCTCTAAAACAGCTTTATCATTAGCTATGTTATTTTTTTAAAGTATTTTTGTGCCTGTATTCATAAGAGCTATTAATCTCTTTTCCTTGGTGTCTTTTCCTCTGATGTCTTTGGTTGGTTTTGGTATCAGTAATGCTGGCCTCATAGAGTGATTTTGATATAGGACCTCCAAATGATATAAAGGAAATAATATAACTCCCATTCTGCTAGATGTCAGATACACTGAGTTCGTGTTCCCCAAAATAGGAGAATGAATTGTAAGGAACAAAGAGGTTATAAGTAGGAAATATTTATTGAGAGGGAGAGATTTTAGCTCCTGAGAGACAGGAGGGGGCTCCATTTCACAGGGGAGGTTTTTGGGTTTTGTTTTTTTTTGAGATACTGGGAATTGAACTCAGGACCTTGCACTTGCGAGGTTGCCACTGGATCACTGAGCTAAATCCCTGGCCCACAGGGAAAATCTTATAGAGCAAAATCATGAGGTGGGTACAACGTGGAACAAAATTATGATTAACCAATAAGATTACAAGTATAGCCACTTAGGTAATATTGACCCAATGGGGAAGCAAGCCATGTAGCAAGTGTACATGGAAAGAACAAAGAACTTTTTGGGAAGGGATAGAATCGGAGGTCTTGGTCACCCACCTTGGGGAAGTA